AATACAAATACAAATACAAATACAAATATTACTAGTCATAACACATCATAATGATGCAGCTTGGATCAATTGGTAGTAGTAGCAGCACCTCCTCCTTCTTTTCTCATCTAGAAGGTGATGATTGAGAGACAACAACAAGCTAGTAGAAAAAAAGGAGCTACCAGCAACACTTCTACTACTAGTAGCTGTGTATTTTGTATTTTATCCACCATCATATGCAGAAAATTTGTGTATGGCAATTACTATTACTAGTAAAAGTAGTACCACCAAAGAATGCTGGCAGCATTTACTCAATATATTTAATGATGTTTCTTGGATCAGCAGCAGCACCTACTATTCTGGTAGAAGATATTCTACTAGTAGAGACAACAACAAGAAGAAGCTACTAATAGGAACAAGGGCTTGCACAACAAGAAACACTCTTGGCAGAGCATTTTGGACATGTGCAGCAGAAACTTTGCAAATTTGCAATTACTACTAGCTAGTAGTAGTACTAAACAATGGTCCCTGCAATCAGCAGCAGCATCTCCTCTTTTCTTGTCTGGTGGAATGTGGTGATAATGTTGAGACAAGACAAACAAGCTGCCTTAGTAGAAGACGAGCTACTAGTACTGTCAGACTTTTAGGTGGTACTTCAGAGAAGAACAAAATAGTAGTAGTAGGGAAGAAAAACTATCTCCACCYGCACTTCTGGTCAGGTATTTTAGCTTTATGCAGCAAATGTTCATGAGTGGAATGAATACTGGTACTCCTAGTAAGAAATAATTTTGCTTGTTGTTGTATCAAACAGCAGCAGCATTGTCATCTCTTTTTCTCATCTGGAAGTTAGTRTTTAGAGATGCTACTAGTAGTTACTGTCTAACATTTCTTTTTTTCCTAATGCCAATTACTTGCCTGGTGTTGGTTCCTGCCTTCTTCAATAAGAATATTAAAAACTCCTTGTTGTCGTTGGTTTTCTCATCTGGAAGTTAGTATTTAGAGATGCTACTAGTAGTTACTGTCTAACATTTCTTTTTTTCCTAATGTCAATTACTTGCCTGGTGTTGGTTCCTGCCTTCTTCAATAAGAATATTAAAAACTCCTTGTTGTCGTTGGTGGTGGTCATGACCTCTGTAGTAGTACTAGTACTAYTATTAATAGTAACTGTATAAGTAGTACTAGTACTAGTAGCTAGTAGTAATTTCTTAATTGTATAATAGTGGTATCTTCTTCACCACAGAAGAAAGGAYGACTTCTCCTGCTGTTGCTTTTTGTAAAGCCCAGATCAAAGTCACAGCYAGCCTGCTGCCTGCTGTTCACTTGCTGTGGCACTAGTGACTTTTGAAGAGGCAACAAGCAAGGGCACAACAATGAGACACTTTGATCAAGAGTCAATGCCAAAAGACCAATGGAACTTCTTCACTTCTTGTGGTCACTAGAATTATCAGAACTTCTGGACCTGGTGGTGCTGGTATTGTACTGCTAGTACTGCTGGTACTACTAGTAAAAGAAGTAGTGCTGCTAGTACTTCTAGTGGTGGTAGTGGTAGTAGTAGGAGTAGATGTTGGCTATTTCTCTCTTCTGGCAGTTATTACTTGTGGCCTACCACTAATGTTTTTGAGTCTTCCAYTTTATCATTCTGGTGTTGCTTCATGATATTGTTCTGTGTTCTTGCAAGTATTTGTTGGGCCTGAAAATCACAAAAGGGCCCAAGAAGATTAACATTTATTTTCCAATCAAAARCAATTTTTTAATTCAAAACTTTTTTCAATGGCATTTCAAATTAGAATATATTTTCCMCTGAAGTTTAAGTTCCAGAGTTCCACCATAGTAGTAGGGTTGTCTCCTGCTCCAGCAATAGTTGATTCACTACAGCCTTTTGGTAGAAAATTAATGAAAATCCAAGCAAACACTTCCCCAAACATCRAATCCTTCTTGGGAGAATGAGAAAAACTAYWAWAWA